GCAGCGTGGCGGGGGCGGGGTGGGACGTGACGGGAGAGTGCCGGATAACCTCCCGCAGTGACTCACTCACCTGCACCGGCGGCACTGTCCTCTAAGCACGCTCCACAGCACGCCACAGACACACACAGACTGGGGACTGGGCCCGGCAGGCCCGGCCCCTAACGCCCTCTCTCCGCTGCTCCCACTGTCTGCGCGGGGGCGGGGCGCAGCGCGGCGGCGCGGGCCGGGGGGCGGAGGGGGCGGGGTGGGGGCAGACAATATCATCTCAGACCAGGCCCGCCCCTCTCGGATGTGTCTCCCCGACGGCCCCGCCATCAGCAGCAGCAGCAGCAGCAGCAGCAGCAGCAGCAGCAGCAGAGACGCAGGCTAGCGACATCCGTCGAGGTGCAAGACCTCAACACTATCCGCTTTTCAAGCGATACAATCGATGTCCAGGTGATTTTATGTTGTGGATCGTATTCGGCGACAAGTTCGTGCGAAATACTGCAGCGACAGATGCGGACACAGGGCACTCGGCACACGGCAAACGACCAACCGCGGTCGAAGGGGGTATCCGGGCCTCGGACGTACCGCTGCCGCCGAAAAGGGGATATGGCCGGGCCTCGAACCGCCTCGAACACACGACCGCCGCCGAAAGGGAGCAGCCGGTGGCAGGGCCTCGGCCACACGGCCGCCGATGGGGGTGGGCGGGCATGGCCTCGGCCACACGGCCTCGCCCGCCACGCCGCCGCGCTCAGTGTTTGTTTCGCAACCCCCTGCAGACACGCGGTCGCTGGGGCCACCCCGGGCCGGCGGCGTAACGACGCAGACGACGCAAACCCGACGTAAACCTGCACCGTTAACGATTTGTAAACAGATGGCTCTTCTAGAGCACCAGCGCGGGCGTCTCAGTCGCTCCAACTGAACCAACCCCATCCGTCCTCGTCCCTCCCGCTGCAGCAGTGCAGAGAGCAGAGCGCCAAGGCCGACCCGCAACGTCGCGGGCCACTATTTCGTTTTTACGCTGTCCATTAGATGGGGTCAATTTCGCGGTAACGACGTTAACTTCTTTTTTCTCAGAGGCCACCACCGTGCTTCGGCCACCGGTGAAGCGCAACCGGGGCGGTCCGCTCGCAAAGCGAGTGCGCTGCGCGGGCCTCGGGGGGCGGAAATGCCCGGCTTGCGCACTGCCCCTCCCCCCTCCCTCCCTCTCCTTGCGAGCGTCCCCGGCGTACGTCCCACGCTGACATTGCTTTCTATTATTGTTATAGCAGGCGTGGCCAGCCGACGATTGAGAAGTTGGCCTTCGTACCCCCGCGTCCTTGTCGCACTCGTGGGGGTACCGTAGTTACACTGGAGAGGGAGAGAGAATAGTGAGGGCGTGAGGGGAGGCTCCTCCAAATCAGTCGGCAGCTGACCCGCAAGGCCAAGGGTCCTTGAGCCTCTGGCGGGCCACGAATGAGTAAAAGCGTGGACCTCGTGTCCTCGATCCAGTTGGTTCGGCTCTAGCTGCTAGCCCTCGTTTCGAGTCAGCGCGAGGAGGAGGAAGCGGACCGCCTTTTCATTCACACCCTTGTCTTCCCTGGGGACCCGGGCGGGGCCGGCGGCGCCGCGCCGCGCCGCAAGACGAGCGGACAACCACAACCACCAACCCCGATCAACCCCCACCGATGCTGCTTTGCGTCCTGGCCCTGGCGCACAGCCTGTCAAAATATCTTTCAAGCCACTTAAGTCCTACGGCATTGTATCATCTATGAAAAGTTTTTTTTCGTGGACGTCATTCTGTGGTCGCGATTCTCGAGGCTCGAGCCCCGTCGCCACGACCACCTCAAACGCTTTAAGAAGTCAATCCTTGCTCAGCCGCCACCCTCAGCTGACCGCTGCCCTCCCCCCTTCCTACCCAAGACCTTGACGGGCCCCAAAAAACCGTTTGACAAGCTGGATGCGAGAGCGGCGGCGTGGTGTCGGTCAGTCGTTCATTTTTCACCGCGACGCAAACCAGTCCACGTGCCGGTCGGCTTGGCTGTGGGGGCTGCCGCTACTGCTGCTGCCGCTGTCGCTGCCACCGGGAGCAACGGGGAAGCAGGCCGGAAGATAAATCTCGTTCAGCTCTCAGCACCGCGCGGCACCGCCTGACGTGCTATACGTGCCCGGCCAGCATCGTCCCAAAACCTTCTCCGCCACCTGCACCTCGGGCTCGGGGTATTGCACCTCTCATCGTGCCGTATGCTTTTCCCACAGCGGCCCTATCGTGAGGCTCTGGTCACGGAGAAGGCTATCACGCTCCGCATCAGGCGCAGTCTTGGGAGGACTCTGGTCACCAAGGCCTGCGTGAGCCTCTTGATGTGACACCGGGATGTTGAGGGTTGAGGGTCTCGTGCGTGGAGCCGTGACCAACGAGCGCTCGCTCACACCCCCCTGCTCGGCCCGTCACAGAGTGTCAGAGTGCAGCAGCGTCACCACAAAGGAGCCTCAGTAGTCGGCCGTACGATCTGCATATGCCCACCCAGCACGCCCACAGGACATACTAACTGCAACCACTACAAAGTGTGTACAGGGAATGAGAGATCTAGTCGTCGCATCTCTCGAGCGGTGGTCGCGTTCTCAAAGGCTGCTCGCGCGTTGTCACAGCCCGGTAACCGATAGCGGGCGGGTGTGCGGCGGCGCTGGCGGGCCGCCCGCCAGGTGAGTTCTCACCTCCCGCCGCGAGTGCGGCACCCCGGGCCGGCGCCGCGTGCATGGGCGGCGGGGGGCGGCGG